GTGGAACTTTCGGAATAGTAATAACAGAAGGTGATCATGATGACATTTCTCCCCTAATGCTAACTATGACTGTTTATTGGATAAATATAAGTGAAATCCACTCCTGAGGATGCCTAAGAGAGCTTTTATAGGGTCAGGAGGATCCTTAAACATGCTGTCTCAATTTGTAGCAGTTCAGGGTCCATATAAAGCAGAGAAGTAAGATAACAGCACATTATTTTTAGTTTTCCTTTGAAAGCTTTGAAAATGAGCTCAGTTTTTCCTGAATATATGCTTTGCTTATGCTTCACTTGCGCTTGTGCTCGTTTTGGCCTTGGATGGCTAAATGTTCTTTGCACCCTCATACGTTGCTGAAACAACATTTGAAACAGGTCCATGTAGTATGGAAAGGAAATAGCTGGAATGCATATACTGCAGTGTTGCACTCTATAATCAGGAGGGGAATGTAATTGCAAGGAGAAATGTGAAATGTGGACAAGCGTCCCAAGAACCAGAGGATTAGTTGCATTTCCCACTCTGAGGTTGGAGAAGAAGCTCCATCCTCAAAGAGGGAATTGCAATTTTGAAACCTCTCCACTACGGTATCTCTTTCAGAATTTTCCTGTACTTCTTACTTCTCCATCTTGGAGAGGAGAGCAAATTGATGGGTGTCCCCAAGGTGTTCTAGGAATAATTTTGGATGTATAGAACATGTCCTGAATGTGGGGAAGAACTTCTATTAGCCCCAGAGACAAAGTAAACCATTTCCTTAAAAAGACCTCTTTTTAGTCTTATATGAGAAAGGGTTTCAATTCCTCAGAGGCTCTGGTGTTAGAGCTTTCAGAAGAACAGTAGAATTGCCTTGGTTGTCATACAAAGTCCCATTAAAGTTAATGCAAGTCAAGTCATGGGTTTGCACAACAGGCTAAACCCTAACATTGTATAAGAAAACACAGTTACTATGTTCCTCCCAATAAACCACATGGTAGCTTTACAGGATGGTCTGGTTCCCACGACACATGGAACCACAACTATATAACCCTGTTTTAGCCAGGATTGGCGATGGTATGCCAGTTCAGCCCAGTAATTCCTACTGATTTCAGTAAGTCTACCTGAAGTATAACTGAGGCTGCTTTCAAAAGAAAGCACCACATTTATCTGAGACTAGCATCACATTGCTGTTTCCCCACCCAAAGTTGTATGGGGCTTGCTTGCTGCTAATCTGATTGACTATCTGCTCCTGCTCCAAAGAAACACTGTAAAATTGGTTGGAGCTGCTAGAGAGACAGTTACTCAGTGGTGGAATCTCCTGCTTTGTCCTGCCTCCCAGCTCTTGAGAACTTCTCTCTTCCTCCTGGAGCCAAGTCACTGTCGTCTTCATCCTCCTCAGTTGCTCTGGGCAGTGATTTTGCCACAGCACAGCGACTGTTTCTTGGGAGGTAGATGGGTGGGGCGGGGAGAGGTTCCTTGCTTTGAAAAGCAGATTGTGAAGAAGAACACAGTCAGGGGGACCCAAAAATGGAGCGAGGCCCCTTGTGCTGAAGAGGGTCTCAGGGAAAGAAAAAGGTGGAACTAGGGCAGGGATTATATTGAAAAGTGGCATTTTGGTATTTTAAAATTCTGGAATTAGAGTGTGAAATTAAGAAAAGAAATACAGATGTGTGAAATATCTTGTGCAGACAAGAGTTTGAGTATTTAAAGAGGAACAAGGAAAGGAAAGGAAAGGAAAGGAAAGGAAAGGAAAGGAAAGGAAAGGAAAAAGAGAGGAGGGAGCAGTGAAGGCAGGGAACATTTGCATCTTTAGAGGACTGGCCTCTGTTCTTGGTCTTTTTGCTTGTCTGGATTATCCTCATTAAGAGCAAAAAAGGATAAAGAGAAATAAAAGATGTGGTGATGACTAAAGGATTATGGTAATATTGGGTGCCTCTTGAAATGTACCGGCCCATGAAAAGGGGCACCTGGAAGTAGCTAAAGGTGGCAGAAGAACAGTGTTAAGGTTCTTCTAACACTCTTGGTAAGGCTGCAAGCTTTAATCAGTAAATTCAACAACTGAAGTGTTAGTTGTTTAATTGGTGATTGAAAACTTCAAAAAGTAGAGCTGAGAATGAAATTCACACTTTAATTTTTGAGTCTATTTTTGTTCTTGTGGTGATACTGTAATACAAATAGATTTTATTTTATTTATTTATTTAAAAATTGGCTTTTCCTGCATTAGATTATACATTCTCATACTTTCCTGCCTCTCAGATATTTCAGTAATTTGAAAAGCCATGCTATTTGAAAGAAAGATTTTCACCGAACCAATTATTCTGTTCAATCGCTACTATATAAGTCAGCCTTCATTTATGCTGCTAACTCTTGGTTAGAAAACTTCCATGGTTTGTCCCCAGAGGATGTTTTGGAAAATGTCCGCGGTTCCTTTGCTCTTCATTGGGAAATAGGTGAAAAAATACACATTCCACCTGACCTCTGCCAAGGGTTTTAGCTTTGTAAAATAAACTGCGTAGTAGGAGGGGAGGTTGAGCAAACGCAGCAATTAGACGAATAATCTGATAAAACAGCAGACAAGTCATGGGGTGAGTTTGAAAACCAGCCAGTCTTTTTCAAAAGCACTAAGCTTCTGGCTCCTAATTCTGTCCCCATAATTTCATTACAGTAAAGTAGTTTGCCTTGTGTTAAAGCAGGAATTTAATATAACAAGTAAATAAAAAAAGAGGTAGGAGAAGCCAAAAACCAAGTATAAAATTCAGAGAAGGTTTAGGAAAAGAGCAGGCGATAGGCGTTTTGATGGCAGTTGAAGTTCAATTGTTGCTCCCAAGGAAGAGATAAGGACAAATTCTCCTTTTTCTGGATCTTCCTTGTTGGAAGGAAGATCCATAACACCAGAA